GGAAATTTCATACTTGACTCAATCAATTGGGAATTGTGTTTGCAGTTACAACAGGTACTGGGGGGGGGGGGGGGTCGGGCAGGGAAATGAGTTGTGAATAGAGTTTGACTCAGGTTCTTACTCAACCAGTCTGGAGACAACTTCCAGGACAGCTCCGAGGAACTGTCTGAGGGGCAGGAGGAGCGACCAGTGTGTTTACGGACGAGGGGCTTCCCTGGTGGCTCAGAGGTAAAGCGTCTGTCTCCAATGCTGGAGACCCGGGTTCAATCCCTGGGTCAGGAAGATCCCCTGGAGAAGGAAAGGGCAACCCATTCCAGGACTCTTGCCTGGAGAATCCCATGGACAGAGGAGCCTGGTAGGCTACAGTCCATGGGGTCGCAAAAAGTCAGACACGACTGAGCGACTTTACTTACTTTACTTGAGAATACACAAAGCCAAGTTTACAGCTTATGAGTGCACTGCTGGGAATCCTCCAGTGATCCAGAGGTTGGGACCCTGAGCTTTCACTGCTGGGGCGCATATTTGATCCCTGCTCCAGGAACTAAGATCCCTCAAGCCACATGGCAAAGCCAAAAGTATTTTTTAAATAAAAAAACAAAAAGTCACTGTTAGCCACGAGCAACAGGTATCTCAGTTACTAATTTCAGTGTTTGGTTTTTTTTTTCTATGTATGGGAAGATGTAGGAATCTGGGTTCATTAAAATTTCCCTGAGGCATCTACCTACCTAGGGGGCCTGTTTTTCTAGAGTACAGAGAACTTTGTCTTGTTCTTTGTCCTCAATTTCCTCAGGGTGCACTGTCCATCAGCAACTGCAGGGACTAATGATTTGGTCCTTGTAGGACTGGATGGTGGGCAACATTCTTTGCCCTGGTTTATCTCTCTGTCTCATCCAAAAAACAAAACAAAAAAGTACTGAGGCAGGCAAGACTGGTGTGGCAGCTACGTGATGAACTCAAGCTCCATTTTCTGCTCCGCCATCCTCCGAAAGTACCTTCACAGTGCCTCACAGTCCAAAATAGCTGGCAGAGCTCCTGCCATCACTCTTATACTCCTAACTATAGAAAGGAGAAACAGGGGAATGGGGACTGCCTGCTAAAGGGCACAAGGTCAAGGCTTCACCTCTGAGAATCACTGGCTGAGCGGCACAACTTTTGACCTGAAGCCACTTCTCACGTTCACACCACAGCAGCTTGGCTCGCTCACTCAGTCACTACATCAGCAGCAGACCACTGATCCAGCACCTTCTGGGAGCCTGATACGGGGCCTCATGGAGGAGGGGAGAGAAAACAGGGACCCCAATCCTCAAAGACAGCTGGACTTCATCCCACGCCCCCACCATGGACAGATTAGCTCCCTGTGGCTCCCATAACGAATGACCCCAAGCTTACTGGCGGACAACATAAGTCTATGACCTTATGAGTCTGTAGGTCAGGATCCGGGGGAGGTCTCAGAAGCTAAGATCAACTTGTAGGCGGGTCTCCTGCCCGCAGGAGGCTACAGGAGTGAACCTGTCCCTTTCTGCCTTTTCTGGTTTCTAAAGGCTTCCCCGTTCCTTGGCTTGTGGCCCCTGCCTCCACCTCCCAAGCCAGCACTGGCAGATTGAGTCCTTTCCCACATCATCACTGATTCTAAAGTCTGTTATCACCCTCTTCCAATTTAAAGACCCCTGGGATTACCTGAGGCCCACTGGACAACCCCCAACCAAGCCCAGCCCATTAGAGACCTTACTTGGGTGACAATCACAGGCTCCTGGGACTGGCAGATGGACATCTTTGGGAGGTCACTATTCTGCACCCAAGGGTTATCAGACCTACAGAGATGTTCACACACTTCTCACACAGCCCGCCCAGGAGGGGGGCTGCCCTGGCGGCTCAGACAGTAAAGGATCCATCCGCAATCCGGGAGACCTGGGTTCGACCCCTGGCTTGGGAAGATCCCCTGGAGGAGGGCGCATGAGACAGTGTTTCTGTTTGTAACGGGAGGTTTAATTAAAGAGAAAATACTGACACTAAATCTTGAGACAGTGCAGGTGAGCTGGAAATCTCTACAGCTCACAAACAGCAACTGAGTTCTCCTGGATGATTGGTTTTTTTCTTCAGAAATTTGAAAAACTTATTTGGCTGCGCCAGTTCTTAGCTGTAGCATTTGGGATCTGTGTGGCCGCACGCAGGATCTTTAGCTGCGGGATCTTTGTCGGTCGAGGCAGGCAGGATCATTTTTAGTTTCGAAATGGGACAGGGGTCTAGGTTCCTGACCAGAGATTGAACCGAGGCCCCCTAAACTGGGAGCTTGGTCTTAGGCACTGGAGCACCAGAGAAGTCCCCTGGATGGTTTTAAATGTAATTGAATAAGCAGTATTACAACTGATAGTGGGGAGGAAAACAAGCTTCTTGCCCAACCTATTCCTACTGCCTATTTGCATATTTGCCTATGTTCCCTTCTACTGTCATTTTTACAGTCGTACATGCAGAGTTTGTCTTCCCAGGGGAGAACAGACAGGTCAGAAGAAATATCCAAAGGGGTGATAGAAAGAAAAAAAAGTTTAAAACATGGGTCTGAGATGGTAAGATTAGGGAAAAACAAACTCCTAAAATGAACTGTTGTGTCTTACTGTTAAGATGCACACAGTCTCCCTTAAGGTGTATCCTGGCACAACACTCCAAATTCGAGTCCAGAGAATGACCCCCGGGGCCCCCTGTCTGGGAGGCAAGAGGACAGCTTTTATTCCTGTTTTCTGTGGAAGAAACTGGTCAGCCAGGCAGTACAGGTAACAGAACATGCACGTGCTGTGTTGGTGATGGACCTACAGAACGGGTTGTCCTTCTCTGAAAGCCCCCACCTGCCCACCAGGCTCTGTGCTCAGCAGGACACACAGACATGGCCAAGACACGTCTGCTCCTACTGACCCCCACCTTCCTCACGGTCTGCCCACATCCCACCGAGGGGAAACCTCCCCAGACCATTTCTCCATTTCTCCGGGACCCGCGCCCCCTGCAGGCAGCTGTGGGCAGGGCAGCCCAACCTCCAGCACCAGGGCCTCCTGTCCCGAGCAACCCCTGCCACGGGAGGAGGGCTGGGCATGCCCAGACGCGGATCCTGTGAGCAGAGCCGGCCAAGAGGCAGCTCCAGTGTCCACGGAGCACTGGCGTCACCCTCGGGCTTGAAGGAGGTCAATGAGGCAACTCAGCAGAGCCAGAAGGTTCTATGGGAGGCCTGGCAGATGACCCAGGCCTCCAGCCCCACCTCCAGCGCCTGTGAATGCCCAGAGGACCCAGGTCAGCTCCTGCCAGATCCAGGGAGACAGGAACACGATGGGGGGCAGCCAGGGCCGACTCCTCAATTCCTAAATTTTCAGAGAGCACCACTCTAACCATGGACCAACCCTGGCTGACTCAGCAGCAACCTTCCTCCATTTTTAGCTTGCAGACAAAAGGCAGCCTGCCAGGCAAGGGTCCTCGGAGGGGCTGGCTGCTCTGTGATACAGCTCGCCCGGGAGGGCACAAGGGCCCTGGGGGTGGGGGAGCTGATCTTGCATAAGCCTCAAGGCTCTCAGTGGCCACACGAGCTGCCCACAAGGGGGGACCTGCCTACTGCCTTGGAAACTGGGGGGCTGGTGGGCACACAGTGGGCCCCTGCCCCTCTGGGGTCTCCAAAGCAGAAACCGATAGGACCAAAAGCAGATCAGGGAGACCAGGACGTGTCATCGGAACATGTCCCGCAGCCACACCGTACTCTCCCCCCCACCCCCACCTGGGTCCTCCCGTGACCTGCCCCCAGGACCGTCCGTCCTCCTTCCGGAACGCGGCTTACTGCGCCCAAGGAAAACGCTACCTTTGGCTACCTCGCAACCACCACTTGACTTACTTTGAGAACTATAATTCAGAAATGAGTTTTAAACATGGCATTTTCTATCTTGCATGGAATCCTTGTGCAAATAATTGACAATTCGAGTGTTAAAACATTTCAACTCCTAAAAAAAGTAACTTTTAAGAAGTGTGCCTCTTCAAAAGGGAACCTGGTTGGCCTGGAGCTGATAAACACCAGGCTTTAACCTGCTGGGTGCTGACAGCCAGGCCGGCCCCCACCAGAGAATAAAGTGACCACATGTAGAGTGACTCGGCAGCAAGTGGGTCAAAAAAAGTTTATTTTGAATATTTAATTTAAAAAAACCATACCTATGAGGTGTGCTACAGAAACTTAGATACAAGGATTGCATATAAAACCCAACCTAACTCTGGTAAAGCAAATGCACTTCAGGAAAGAAAATGTGTCCCTTGCAGTCACTGAGGTCCCAACACCTGAGCAGTTCCACACGGTCACTCGGGAGGGTGCTGAGCGGGCCTCCCAGCCCCTCCCAGGGGATGGGCTCCCCACAGCAGCCCAGGAGAGCTCACGCTTGTTCGCTTCACATTCTCAGGCAAGTCGATCCATTACATTTTGCTGTCATTTAACATGCTATTTTGGCAGAAAGAGTACAGCTCCCTTAATGGGAAGCATTTCTGCGGTTCACAGGGGGAAGGGACCTGCCTTCCCACAGCATCCAGGAAAAGAAGAGAAAGGCAGGGCTTTGCGAAACCCAGCAACCACTGCAGGATTTCACAGCGAGAGCAGCGCCTCCATGCGACCAGAACGCTCCAGTAATCAGCAACACTAACTTCCCATCAGGCCCTTCCCTCTTCCTCCAAACCCTCAGGACAAGGCCCCCACCACAAGGGGTGGTCCTGCCTCCCGACAGTGGGGCACAGACAACCCGCACTCGGGACTGAAGGTCACCAAAGTGACTCCACGCCAGTTGATTTGGCAAAAAAAGAAAATACCTTAAATGCATAAAAACAATCAGCAAGTCCTCCAAGGAACATGATTACAATATATTAGCAAGTCCTGGGGCGTAAACATTTCCAAAAGCATCAGCAAAAGTATTAAATAGAAAAGCAGGAGCGTACACGCCCCTCCACACCTAGGAGGCGCCAGGCCCGGCGGCCGTGGCGGGGCAAGGCGCCTACTGCCGCAGCTCCACGTAGTTGGCGGGGAAGAGCCCGTACCTGCCCTTGCACAGCCCGCGCCACCAGCCATCGTCAATCATCTCGATGTTGGTGATGATGTCATCGGGGTCGAAGGAGATCTCATCGTCGCCCGCTGGGGAGGAGGCCAGAGAGCAGTGGTCACCCTCGGTGTCTCTGGTCAGCCCACCGCCAGGAGCAAGACCCACCAGCAGCCTCTCGAGTTGGCGGCCTCCCACAGAGGCTCCGTGGGGGTGCAGGGTGCTGGGGTGGAGGATCCACAGGGGTGGAGGGGTCCCGGTCTCCCCTGCTCAGTGAGGGTAGCTCTGCACGCACATGGGCAGCTACAGAGACCCGATAGAGCCCTTCATACAAATCCCTAAGCCAGGACTTCCCGGTGGCACAGTGGGCCAGAGTCTGTCTGCCAATGCAGGCTGCACACCTTATCTGGACGATTTCACATGCCGTGCGTGGAACAACTAAACAACTATGCCCCCACTACTGAAGCCCGAGCGCCCTGGAGCCCACACTCTGCAACAAAAGAAGCCGCAGTGAGAAGCCCTCACGTCAGAATGAAAAGCAGCCCCTGCTCCCCGCAACTGGAGAAAAGCACGCACAGCTAGAAGATTCAGCAGACACACAAAAAAAAAACAAACCCTAACCCAGACCAGGTGGAATGGGACTGAGGAAGATAGAGAATTCCCTGCACTGTATCTGCAACTTTTCTATAACCTTGCACTTGTTTAAATATAAATTCTTCTTAAAAACTGTAAATAGCATTCTGAGAGCCGTACCTCTCGAGAGAGGAGTCCCTGGACGCCCCAGTCCCGCACCCCCACCAACCCTCCTTCTGGCCCAGGCGGCTTCTCACCAGCCTGGTAGTCGTAGAGGGCGATGGCAGTGATCCCAAGGTCATTCTCGTATTCATCGTAGGTACCTTCCTCTAGAATAAAACCAGGGCCGAGTCTGAGAAAGAACCAGAGCTCCACGCTCACTCCTGGCAGACAGCCCTCCCCAAGGTCTGGGAGGAGCCAGTCGGGAGTCAGCAGCCCCAGGGCGCCGAGGGCCGCCAGCCCCTCCCACCGACAAGGGGAGCCACCCCGAGGAGCGAACCCACAGAGGGATCATCTCGGCGGAGACTGGCACAGCTGTCAGGGTATAACTGTTTACATTTCAAACGTTCAGCACTATTGTCAGGACACGTCCATGTCCTGAACAAATGAACGGCGAGCGGGAGACAGCTGATCACACCTGCCATCGTGCTCAGGGGAGGGGAGCGCTCTGCCCCGGGCAGGTTCTCGTGCTGATTCCCATGTCACTCCCGGAGGGAGAACGGGCCCCCACGCTCATCCACCCACTCTACCTTCAGGGTGCCGGGGACCTCCACCTTGTGACCTCCAGACACCGCGGCCTCCCCTCGGGGAAGACAGCAGCAGGAGACCCTCCTCCACGCCCACCCCCTCAGTGCCCCCTGCACGGGCGGGGGTCTCCCTGGAAGCCCCCGGGCGCGGGGCCACAGCAGAGGTGGGGCAGCTCAGCCCGTGGGAAAGGGGAGGTTTTCAGAGGAAAAGCAGCGGAGGGGGCGTGACGCAGGAGATTCCGCACCTGCTTGATAGCGGCCCGGCGCCTCCGTGCTTTCGTAGACAGCCTCCGAGACGTAGGCCTCCGGGTACCCTGTGGTCTCCACGCTGTAGCCCAGCTCAGGCTCGGCGCCGGAGCTCGGCTCAGCCCGCAACGGAGCTGCGTCCTGGGGAGTCAAGGGCAAGTTCCTATGGCCCCATCGCCCAGAGCCACACGGAAACCCGGCAGCCCGGCCGAGACGGGACAGACGCCGGGGGAGGCGGGTCACCCACCGACGTCCTGACGGGGCCCCTCCCCAGGATCCCCTCTCACCTCGACCCTGAGACCCACAGTCACTAAGGACCTGGCGGTCACAAGAGATGCACGTTCCTGGGGCAGGCCTGGCCTGCTCTGCTTCAGGCCCAGACCACCAAGGCACCCCAAACCCCCAGAGCCCCCAGCCCCCTGAGGCTCTGACAACAGCTCCAGGGCAGCACCCCAGCCCTCCAGCCAGAGCGGATGAGCCCGCGCACGGCGGGTCCCATCCCCACCAACGCTGCGGAGGCGAGGCATGGGACGGACCACCAAGCCTCGCATAAGAGCACAGGGTGCGCTGCTGACAGCCTCAAGCTGACCACCAGCCCAACCAGGCTGCGCCTGGGGCTCCCTCACAGGTCAGAGCAGCAAGCTGCCCGCGGGGAGCAGCTGCAGGAAGAGCCAGAGGTGGGCAGGGGTGCAGTAGGCGGGAGAGCCCCTCTGGGGGCCGTGGAGAGGAGGGCTGCACCTCGGCCAGACACGGGAGCCCCTTAGGGCTGAACAAAGCAGCGACGGACTCCTGCTGGCGGCGTCCCCCAGAAGCGACAGGGGCAGACCGGAGGGCGGGGAGCCGCTGCGCTGGGGGGTCACCCTGAGCAGGTCAGTGGGGCGGGGGCAGCCTCCCTCACTGCCCTCCCCGCCCTCGCCCATCGGGTGGTTCAGGCAGGCTGGCAGGCTCTGGGACATGCAGGGGGCGGGGCGTGGCCTGCACAGGGCCCTTTCCACGGGATTAGTTGTAAAACCCCACCTGCCCGGCCAGCCCCGCCCACAGCTCTCCCACCCCGACCCCTTTATGTTTCCTGAGTCAAGCTAGTGTGCGCGCCTGGGACTCAGTGAGAGGTGCCATCTGAGGTGACGAGCGAAGACGGGCGGGTGAACAGCACCCTGGGGCAGAGCGGGAACTCGGGCTCAGGGGTGTGGGTGTGGATGGTGGGGGCCGAGCTGCTCTGGGAGAGGGGCTGCAGGGGCCTTTGGCCGGGGGTAGGGAGGTCGCTCAGTGACCAGGGGTCAAAGGGCAGGTCCTGGGGACCAATGACTCTGCAGAAAGGGCCGAGGGAGACAGGAGCTGAGGAGTGGCCGGCAGAGAGAGGGAGGGAAAGGGCAGCAGACTTCTGGCTCCCGCGTGTCAGGAGACGTGGCAGGGCAGGGGGAGTTCGAGGGGGTGTACACCTCACACACAGGAGGACTGCTCTCTGGGTCCCCGACAAGAGCAGGGTGAGGCCCCACCCACAGGGCACTGGGCTGGCAAGGGCGTCTCCAGGAGTCAGAGCGTCACTGGCAAACCATGACAACACCAACCTCGTAGACGGGGCTCGATGCTGGCCTCTCCTGAGCCGGCTGGGGTGTGGGGGACGCGGGCGGCGTGGGCTTCTGGGCCCGGGCCTGCTCCTGAAACACAGAGAAACGGCCATCAGCACGTCCTCAGGCCACTCACTGCCAGAGGAAGCAGCAGAGACGGGAGCAGACAGACTTCAAGGGCGCGTCTGCCTTGAAGCCAAGGTCATCTGCACTACCAGGTCGGTCACAAGTCCTCCAGGTGCTGGAACCACCGGCGAGGAACACGCCCCAGGCAGCGTGTGTCCTTGAAGGGCTGGAAACAGAGACATTCCTTCCCAGGGGCATGCTCACTCCCAAGACCTGGAGGTGAGGCATCTGTGGCCCCCTGCCCACCAGACGGAGCACTCAGATGCATGCGGTCTGTGTCCTGCCTCTGGACACCGCTCACAGCCCAGAGAGCGCTGGGGCGACTGACGCTGTGCTGAGGGGGCTCACACGGGGGAGGCGGGCGAGGCGAATGGGGCTGGATGCAGTGAGGGACGACACGGCAGAAGGGACAGCAAGAGACCCTCAAAAGCAAAAAGGAGGGACAACCACCACCAGAAACCTCTGAAGTCTTCCAACTTTTCTGCATCTTTCAGATCAGATCTCAGGGATTACACTCTCGAGTCATAAAAAGGAAGGTGTTATATAAAAAAGAGACCAAGTTACCAGGAAAAATGCCTCGGAGTGCCGGCCTACAACAAAGAAAAACTTAAAAACGCCCAACTAAAAACCTGAAGGAGCGAGCTTTAAGGTTCCTTGGCAGTTAAGGAACAATACAAGGAAATTAAGAGTTGGCTGTTATCCATGACAAAGCATGCGTCAGGACGTCTGGAATCCCCACCCAGCACTCCCTGCCACTGCATGGCCCCTGCCTCCACCCCTCACCCTCCTCCAATGGGGTTTTCAGAGCCCCAACCACCAACTCGGGGAAGAAATGTCTGTGGGTTTAAGTAAAGCTTTACGATCTGTAAGACACCACAAGCATTACTACAGATTCTGCGCTTCCTCACCACCACAGAGTCGAGGGTTTTCACACCCGCTTCCCGGGCGAGGACGTGGCCGCGGCTCCCTGAGCTGATCTGCCTCCAGCCGCCCGACTGGGGGGTGACAGACTGGCACAGCACCATCGGACATCAGTCCACCCAGAAGGGTTTTAGGGGTAGAAGGGCCGCCCCATCCTTTTCACCTCTAATGGCTCCCATCTCTACTTTCCCTCGTGGAAAAAGTCTACAAAGAATCACAGAGCAACCTGCAGAGCCAGGCTCCAGAAGGAACAGCAAAAGACCGCAGACCCACACCTGCACAGGGACTTCTCCTGTGCCCCTACCTTCCACCCAAGGTGACGGGCTCCCCAGGGGCATGGTGGGGACAAACTGCCAGGGAGATGTGTGGATGCGGGCTGCCTGTCACCCTGGGCTGGGTCAACACGGCTGATGGGCGGGTCAGCTGTCCAGCGTCCGGGGACAAGAGCCTAGGCCACCTGTACGGCTGAAACCGTCAGTGCGAGAAGGCGCTGTGCCTACAATGACCCCATGAACTGGAGACATGAGCGAGCCGCACCCAAGGCCCGTGGGCTCCCAGGCCCCTGGCGCCGCCCGCACTCACGTCCAGCTGCCGCCGTGCCTCCTCCTGCTCCTGCCGCTCCTGAGCCATCCTCTGCGCCCGCTCCGCCTCGGCCTTCCGCCGGTCCTCCTGTTCTTTCTCCTTCGCCAGGTTTTCGAAGTTCGCTCTGATGTTACTTGTTTTGCTGTTCACTACAAAGGAAGCAGAGACTTACCCAGAGTAACGCCGTCTCCCCCACACCAAGCTGGCCCAGGGGACCTTCCCCGGGAAACCAGGCACTGGCTGAGCGGGGACGCATCCCCTTGGCTGCCAGCCCAGCCTCCGCCAGGAACGAGCCTTTGCTGCTGTGTCTGCTACACGTGCAGTGGGAAGGTGGGCACAGAGCCCTGCATCTGGAACATTCTCATGCTCCAAACATCACTACATGCTTTACCACCAGACACTCACAAGGAAAGTATCCCTAGGGAGGCCCTCAATCGAACAGTCAAAAGCAATGACTGAGCTCCACCCCCGTAACATTTCCTGTGACAAAATGGGAGGGCCGGGCACCCCTCGAGGACCCTGGTGGATGGGCCGTGGGGCCTCCGGGGAAAGCACCTGCAACTAGGTGAGATGCAGGCTGATCTGACACTTCCTGGGACAGAGTTTTCCCTGAATTTTGATTACAATGGGCAATCACTTGCCATCCCCCAAACCCACAGATAACCAGGTTCTCCATTAATGCTCCACTGGCTCCTGTCGGCTCTCCACTTGCCCTCAGCTCCGTGCTGGAACACCGCACGGCACGGAACTTCTGGGAAAGCACTCAGGACTGCCGGGGGTTTGCCAGGACTCACCTGCTTCAACAGGGACAGTCTTCTGGTAAGATGAGGACACCGCGGCAACGTCCTCAAAGGTGGAGGCATTCTGCCGAGACACGAGCAGGGGTGAGGAGGGCGGGTCCCCCTCTCCTGCTGCCGGCACTAAGCCAGCCCCAGATCCTCCTGGGGAACCAGCCCGGAGATCTTGTACCCACCAGCCCACACGGTAATGGAGGCACAGAAAGTGTGCCAACACGCCCCGACTGATGACCCAAGAATCAGCGTCAGAGAAGAAACGCATATGTGGGGGGAATCAGTAGGGCCAGGGGTTTTACAGCAGTAAAACTAGTACAGGAATCTAGAGTGGTGAACGAAAGTTATCACACACTCATCCAGACCCGCAGGACATACAACCCAAAGGTGAACCCCAATGCCGCCCCCTGCTGTGGGCGACTGAGACAGGTTCAACACAGGTTCACAGGGAGGGGTGTGTGTGTTGGGGAGTACATGGGAAACCTCTCCATCTTCCTCTCAAATTCAAGAAAACTGCTTTAAGGGCAGAAAAACCAAAATCCCATCTTCACAACCGTAAACCCAGCATGTCTTCCTCCTGAGGGCTCACCGCCGAGGAGACCCAGTGTTTACAAGGGAGCCCAGAAGCCTCTGCTGTGTGGGAAGAGAACACGAGCCTCCCCTGCCCCCAGGATGGTCTGGGTGGCGGCCCCGCCCTGCCAGGCGCCCTCCTGGTCTCCTCTGACCAGCCTCCCAGTCTCCTCTTCTGCCACCATCCTAGACATGGCCTTTGCCCACACGCTCTGCAGGCCCCCACCCCACCGGCACTGCCTGCCCTGCCTGGCAGCCTGCCCCAACTGTCTCACCAGCTCTGCCTGCCCCCCAGTGACCCAGCTCAGCAGGTGCCCTGACATCCACCTGGGAGGCCCTGCCCGCTCCGTCCCCCCACCCCTTATACCCGGGGACGTCAGCATCCACCCCCAGCCCCAGCTGGAAGCCTGTGATCAGACCACTAACGCCGCCTCGTGTCTGGGGCCCTGGCCTGGCAGGTTCTCTGAGACCCACTCTCCACCCCGCGGCCAGGGGGTTGCTGGCTACACAGCCCATCCGTGTCCCTCACCCACCAGACCCTTGCCCGAATACTCAAGGCCCACCAGATGAAACATAAAAGCCTCCCAGGGCCCGCGGGGCTCCTGAGCTGGCTTCCCACCCAGCCACGTGCCGCCTCCTCCGCAACAGGCCTGCCCGCTTCCTTCTGCCCACCTGCACCGGCGAGGAGGCCCAGCCCCACGCCCACAATCACAGTGCCCCGCCTCCAAGCCCTCAGCTCCCCCGCATCAGTGAGCGCTGGCTCTGCTTCCTCAGGACACTACCCGCCACCAGAGTCCCACGCTCAGGGCCACACACAGTCACGGGACGGGGCCCCAAGGGTCAGCCAGGAGCCTGATGGAAGGGAACTCGGCGGGGACAGGCCCTGTCATCCAGACTCCCACGGGCAGAGCAGCCGCAACCTCCGGCCACTGAGCCGACAGGTGCCCAGTGGGGGCCACACCACACAACTCGTGGGTCCACCCCTCCGATGCAGCTGGAGTTTAGACTAGACCCCCAACCACCTGATGTGCTAAGGACTGGCTGACGGAGACCCTGAAACGGGTCAGGAGGGAGCCCCGGGAGAGCCGAGAGTGGAGCTTGCAGGGTAGACTGTCACAAGCCCCTGCAGTGGAGGAGACGTTCTGGACCTGCCTTCTCCAAGACACAGCCACCACCAGGAGGCCAGAATGACCAAGAACTCAGCTCCCAAGGTGGTTCAAGCTCAGCCCTTTCAACACAATCAGCCACCTGGCCAAGGGCCCCACGCCCCACTATACAACACGACAAGGACCGTAACCGCCTCACTGTGCGGCCTCGGGAGTCCCGGAGAGGACCCCGGGACATGAGAAGGGAAGCCCAGCACTTGTGTCAGCTTCCTGCACCGCCACGGGGATGACACACACCTGCCTGGGGGGCTTTTCAAAGATGTGCCGGGTGCCCCCTAGGAGGCCAAAGACCACCCACAGAACAACGGCCGACCCCTCACCCCTCGGCAGGACACACCGAGCCCGGAAGGAGAAGCACTCACCTTATCCATCCGGTCCTTCTGCACCCCGTATTTCCCACCGAAGCCTTTGGAGTAGTCTGCAATGTGACGACACGGCACTCAGCCCCGGGCGGAGGACCAGTGGCCGCAGACAGCAGATGCATACATGCAGATGTGGACACCCCGGAAAGCGCACCCAGAGCAACACACGAGGGCGTGGCACCAGAGCCCTTGCCTGCAAGGCAAGTGGGCCTCCACCCAGGGTCTCGGCGGCAAGCAGAGGATGGGGAGGAAGCGGTGGGCATGCTCTGTGTGCTCCCGGGACGAGGGTGTGGGTGCGGGCGGCAGGCAGGGCGTACCTCCCAGCACAGACTCCACCCAGCCTCGCCCACTGCTGCCATCCTACCCTACCCAGCTTCAAAGAAAGGCTCTGAGGTGCGGTTTCTCTCATTCTTTTGAAAGAGAGAAAACTCCCATGGACATCTATCAGCCACACTTATGCCACGGCCACACAGGTCCACAAGACCGTCACACTGCCATGCAGTGTTAACACCACACAGAGCCAAGGCCACATCCATGTGGTTTGCGGGGTCAGCCCCAGGTGATCCTCTGCCTCCCTCCCTGAACACGGGATAAGGGCCTCTCAGGACTAACACCTCTCCAACTGCATGTCCGGGTCCTGAGGGAACTGCCCTGAGCAGAAGCACATCTGCATCTGGACTCCCAGCACCACCCAGACCCTCCTGTGATTCCAGCTTCCTGTACCTGAGCATACACCCAGACCCTCCTGTGATTCCAGCTTCCTGTTGTGAGCACACACCCAGACCCTCCTGTGATTCCAGCTTCCTGTTGTGAGCACACACCCAGACCCTCCTGTGATTCCACCCAGACCCTCCAGTGATTCCAGCTTCCTGTTCTGAGCACATACCCAGACCCTCCTGTGATTCCAGCTTCCTGTTGTGAGCACACACCCAGACCCTCCTGTGATTCCAGCTTCCTGTTGTAAGCACACACCCAGACCCTCCTGTGATTCCAGATTCCTGTTGTGAGCACACACCCAGACCCTCCTGTGATTCCAGCTTCCTGTTGTGAGCACACACCCAGATCCCTCCTGTAATTTCACTTCCTTTTGTGAGCACACATCCCCGTGATTCCACTTCCTGTTGTGAGCACACATCCCGATCCCTCCTGTGATTCCAGCTTCCTGTACCCGAGCACACAGCCAGACCCTCCTATGATTCCAGCTTCCTGTTGGGAGCACACACCCAGACCCTCCTGTGATTCCACTTCCTGTACCTGAGCACACACTCAGACCCTCCTGTGATTCTGCTTCTTTTATGTGAACACACACCCAGAAACGTCCTGTGATTCCAGCTTCCTATACCTACTGTCTGCTTCGTTGTGAAGGAGTTACATGCAAACAGGGTCATCAAAAAATAAAAACTCCAAAAAACACACTGACAACTGAGACCCCAAAACCATGTGGACATGCCTGCCCTGTGCCCCTCTGGTCCAAGGCCAGAAGTCGCGCTGAACCGAACACATTTCTCCCGGCCTCAGAGGCAAGAAGGCAGCTTATTCCACAGTCAGAGCAGCTGTGTCAACAGCGAGAGTTGCCGGGGGAGGCTGAGGGAGGCCAGGCGCCCGCTCCAGAGACCAGTCACCTGCAGCTCACGCTCCCTTTTACCAAGCGCACACCCGAGAGGTTACAGGTGAGAAAGTGAGTGGGGAAGAGTGCGCAGGGGGTTCCTCTCCGCAGAGCAGTGGGGAAAGAGCCAAGCCCTGCGGTGACAGCGGTGACCAGAGGCCAAGCCTGAGGTCTGTGCTAAGCGGAGGCACGGGAAGGGAAGAAGGGGGCTGGGAAGCAACTGTGCCTTGCTGGGACCCGTGCTTGGCCAGTTTCTCCTTGTAATCAAACCCCACAGCACAGGAGTCCTGCCTCTCGGACTGAACACCAAATCTGCCTCCGAAACCAGTTTTATAATCTGAAAATCCACAGGGGACCGTGGAGAAAACAACCAAAAAAGGAAAACAAATTTGGTTAAAATCGTAGAAGGTTTGCAGGAATCAAACACGGCGCTTCGAGAAAACAAGAGCCCTGTCGAGCGAGGGAGCCACAGAGCCAGCTCCCGGCGTCACCAATGGTCACAAAGGGCTCAAAAGGTTGAAGGACAAATGAAATCTGAATGGGTCAGCCAAGGCTCGAAAGCAGGCTAGGAACTGTCTGTAAGCTGACTGGGAAAAGCCATGACAGGCTCCGAGCTTTGTCTCGAGGGTCCTGCCTGCACTGCAGACAAGAACATGTGTCTCTGCATACGTCAAAGAGACACTTCACACACACATCCTGTCCCCAGCCCTGCGGCAGCCCTGGCCTGGACCCGCCGCCTGGGAGGGCGTAAGCCGGGCTCTGGCAGCCACTCTCCCAGGGACACAGCTCACCTCCTGGCTGGGAGCACCGAGCCGCCCCTTCAGCCACCCGTGCGGGCAGAAACAGCCCCTTGGAAACTGCAGTGGCAGCCAGGGCTGCAGGGCACAGAGGCCTCACCGCAACCCCCCAGGGGATCACTACAGGCAGAGGGGTCTTTTCACAGCTGAGGGAGGCAGAGGGACCCTCCCCGCCCCCCAGGGAAGACACGACACACGGCCACACAAGTACTGCGAGGCCCGGCGCACAGGAACCTGTGAACAAGGCTGAACTCCGGGAGGCCGCGGGGGGAACGCACCTTTCTGGGACTCGTGCAGCTGGGGCTTCTCCTGGTGGTCCCAGCCGAGGGCACACTTGTCCTGTCTGTCCGTCTGCACACCAAACTTCCCCCCGAAGCCTTTCACGTAGTCTACAGACAACACAAAAGGCCATAACCGAGCATTAACAGGCAGCCTGCCTAACAGGGAGAAAGCACATTTTCCACAAAGTTAAACACACACAGCTCGCTCAACCCTTCCTTGCTCCTGTATGTGAGTGTGCTCCAGACCTTTGGTAAAACTTCCAGTGACCTTCATTAAAAGGACCTCCCCGCACCATGTCCAGAAAATACCCTGAGCTACAATCTGGGTCTCCTGGATAAACACAGACGGGACCCCAGGCGGGAAGACCCAAGGCGTGCTGCTCAACCAGCGGGGTCTCTTCCACACACAGACGGGAGACTTGAGGGCCGTCACCAGCCACTCTGCTGTGGCGTCAGAGCCACAGGCTGGCCAAGGGCTGCGTTTCTTAGTTAGCAGCGCTGGTCTGTATATGCTGTTTTCAAGCCCCATGTTTAACAGGACATCTGCCCTCAGGCCTCCTGGCCGCGTTCCGGTTCTCTGTCTGTCCCGGTCATCACCCGGCGCATTAACAGCCGCTGGCTGGAGGATGAGGCAAAGCTGAACCCACCTTTCTGGGACTCGTGCTTCTCCGTTTTGCCTTGATACTCGAAGCCGACTGCGCTCTTATCCACCTTGTCCTTGTCGATACCATACTTGCCACCGAAACCTCTGGAGTAATCTGCAAACAAGAAAAAGCACCGTCACACACCGCCACAGGAACAGCAAGCAGGTTGTGAACCTCAGCAGTCTGGAAGGAAGAACTTCTATCACTCCCTCAAACCAACCAACCAAGGGGGCTTCCTGGTGGTTCAGCGGTAAAGAATCCGCCTGCCATTGCGGGAGACATGGGTGTGATTCCAGGTCCGGGAAGATTTCCTGTGCTGCAGAGCAACTACGCCTGCGCACCACGACGACTGAGGCAACGTTCTAGAGTCTGGAAACTGCCAGCTATTGAGTCCACACGCTCTAGAGCCTGCGCTCTGCAACAAGACAAGCCACTGCCCTGAGAGGCCCATGCAATCACAACCAAAGTAGCCGGCCTGCCACAACTAGAGAAAAGTCCTCACAGCAACAAAGACCCAGTGCAGCCAAAAAAAAAAAAAAACCAACAACAACCAGGGGGACTTCCCTGGTGGTCCAGAGGCTTAAGACTCCACGCTCCCAAAGCAAGCAGCCCAGATTCAATCCCTGATCAGGGATTTAGATTCCAAAAGTGGCAATAAGGATCCTAAATACGGCAACTAAGATCCCAGCAGTCAAATAAGTAAGTAACTGGGGGAAAAAAAACTTTAAGGCCTACTCTAAGATTGCAAATGTAGAAAACACTTAAAAATATTATTTATATGTACAGAAGAACTGCAAAAAGTAGTAAATACAGCAAATAAATAACTGCAGCATCTCTCCTTTATTCCAGAAGACGGTATGAAGACAAAGTTGACATGAAGCTTCTGAAATCAAGGATGAGCAATAGGAGCAAGCTTTTAGAAGGTCACTCGAGGCAGGGGTTTCCTTGGCAGTCCCGGCAAAACCAATGCAGGGGGCACGAGTTCAATGCCTGGTCTGGGAAGATTCCACTTGCCACAGGGCAGTTAAGCCCATGTGCCACAACTACCGAGCCTGTGTGCTGCAACTATTGAAGCCTGAGCACCTAGAGCCCACGCTCTGCAACAGGAGAAGCACCGCAATGAGAAGCCCATGAACCGCAACCAAGAGTAGCCCCTGTTCACCGCCAACTAGAAAAAGCCCGCGCAGAGCAAGGAAAGGCAGCCAAAAATAAAACAAACACTAAGTCACCCTGCTTCCTCAACTACAGCAGAGGCAAGATGGGGCATCTCCAAAGAAACAGAACAAATGAGGAGCACCTTCTAGGAACGTCAGTTCCGCTCAAGGCTAAGTTACTATAAACACTAGATAGCTGTTCTTACACACAGCAGGCTCCGTCACAGACCCGTGAGCGGGGACTCATCCCCACCCGGGCAGGCCCAGAGCTGCCAAGGACACCTGCGCTGCTCCAGGCACTTCGGCTTCTGCTCCCCAGCTTCCTGGAGGCGTCGTTATTCTTCTGCAAGGGCATCTGGGGAGAAAGCCTGGCAAAATGAACAGGATCCAACAGCAGGTCCTGATGAGCACGTGCACACGGGCAAAGGTGTCCAGGTGTGTCCCCAGCACACAGAGGGGCAGCCCAGCGCCAGGGCAGGCGGGCCTCGGGCAGAAGGAAAGCAGGAAAGTGAAGCCCTCAGGTCCAGCGGCCCTTCCCTCGGAGAGACGCCTGGTCACTGGTGCTGCCAGTGGTGGCTTTCATTTTCAATTCTTAAAAAAAATCTGGAGATTTACAAAACCATGTGAAATCTCAATTTCTATGTTGCCAATGATTCAAAAACTTGAATGCACAGGCCAAACAAACACACCATGCAGAAGAACCAGCCAATCTCAAGCTCTGCAACAGGGGTCAAGCCTTTGTGTCCAACTCCACACACACGCACCTTAGTGGGCAGAGCGCTGTAACGGACCTCCAACAGGGGGCACCACAGCGAAAGGAGGATCAGGCTGGCTGCTAAGGACAACCTGGCAGCATCCAGCAAAATTTTAAGTTCAACATCCTTTGACTCAGCAATTCCAATGCTAGAATTTATCTTTTAAATAATCACTTTTGTACGTAAGATACAAGGACAAGAATATTCACGGGAGTCAATTCTTAACATCCAAAACTGGAAATAAGCTCAACTCCACCTTCTAGAGAGGAACAGTTCAGGGACTACACAATCTTCATACAGTGGAGAAGCGAGCAGTCATCGAAACGACGATAAACCACCTACACCGACCAGGTTAAGAACAGGGATGTCCAAATACTTCAAATTAAGAGATTTGTATAAATAAAACATAAACAAATCTGCAAGGGGAGAGAGAGCTCGCTGGGCTTCAGTAAACGCACGTGCGACGAGGGGCCCTGGGCGCCCCAACAGTCAGTGTGGTGCACAGCGGCCCACCCGCCCACCTCTCTGTGACTCGTGTTTCTCCGTCTTGCCCTGGTAGTCGAAGCCCACGGCACTCTTGTCCACGCGGTCGGACTGCACGCCATACTTGCCACCGAAACCGCTCGAGTAGTCTGGGGAGACAGGGCAGCAGCGGGTAAAGCGTGTCAGGGCAAAACATCACTCTGGTTAAAAGCAGCAGGACAAAAGTTTCGGGCGACAATGCACCAGGAGATAGGGACACGTGTGAAGCAGCACAAGGAGCCACCCGCCATCAGATGTGGCGCTGGGTATCGTCTCGTGTCCCTGCAGTCTGGCCCCTTCCGGCGGCTGGAGGGCAGAGGTGAGCCACAAGTTACTTTGTAAAGTAACCATTCAAATAAAGCTCAACACATGAAGAAAGGGACATGGCCACATGGGTCTTTCCAGAAAAGACCAGAGCCTGCCAACACCCTGGGCTGGGCGGACCAGGCGGACCTGCCCCTAGAGAGCGCCCAGGCCAGCTGCTTCCCCGGTCGTCGAATGCCCTGCGAGAGGCGTAAACAAACACAAAAGCAGCTCGAGTGCTTTGGGAGAGCGATGCGCTTTCACTGAAAAAGGGCTTACGAGGGAGCACGAGCTTGTGAAGACCAGCCAGCACCCTGTTCAAGACGGCGCAGGCGCCATGCAAACATCAGCAACAAAACGGCTGGTTACTATCCTAAGGGGAAAGTCTGCTTTGCCAACCAAGCTTAGGAATGAACTGTCCCTGAGGAACGCTGCTCAGAGGAGGGGGAGGCAACGGGGTGACATAAGACGCCAGGGTCCACGTGCTGCCTGCCGGGGACCCCGCCACACCACACCACAACCCAGATGCCTGAAGGAGAGGGCAGTGTCCTGCCCATGGCGACACCTGCCCCCAACCCCCAGATGAGGCCTCAAGGGACAACATGCTCCTGCCCTTCAAAAGCAGGGGGGGGGGCTTTCTGCATCTCCCCCATCTCACCTTTCTGCGAGGCGTGTTTCTCGGTCTTCCCCTGGTACTCAAAGCCCACAGCAGACTGTAGTCACAGAAAAAGAGGAGATGCAGATTTCAATGTCTGGATCCACAACATATGTGACATTTTAAAAAACACAAAGCATGTTATTGGTATTTTTTTATTTTTTTCTTTCCTAAGCTACTAATGCCCAAAGCACCAGTATTTTGAATTTGCACACGTTGAAACACTCACTGAAGCCTGGGGGCCGCCCCAGCCAATGAGCAAGGCGGCCCTCAATGCTATGACAGAAAATGAGGGGGCCGCCGGCCCTGAGCCAGGGCTTCAGACCAGAGGAACAGCATCAGACACTCAGCACAGCCCTGGAAGTGGGTGAGGGGAGGCGCTCTGTCACTGTGACACAGGCAGGGACAGAGTCCCCACTGTCCCCCGGGACACACCAAAAGCCATCCCAGGCACCAACACGGGGGTTTCTACAGCCATCAGGAGAAAGCCCTTACTCTTGACCGTGCTCACCTCTTAAACAGCCCACCATCTCAGAGCATCTGTTGGGGGGGGGTCCTCAGGAGCCTGTGCTCGGGACCCCCCGCCTTGCATTCCCAGAGTCCAAGGCCCCTCTGCGCCACTCTGAGACGCCCAGAGAACACTTGGAGCAAGCTCAATCTACAAGGTGGGGCCTCGGCTGCCCACGACGCTTCACTCACCTGGTCCACTCTGTCCACCTGGACACCAAACTTGCCTCCAAAGCCCCGGACGGAGTCAACCTGCGAGCAGTGCTTGGAGAGCTTTGACTGATACTCATGGCCGACAGCCGACTGGAACAGGGGCAAAAGTGAAGCATCAGACACCCACCAGCATTGCCACACTGGACCCGCCCCCCGACCCAGAGGCAGCCTGCACTTCTGCTCGGCGTGGGTGATGCAAACAAAACCACTCAACGTGGAAGCCGGCCCAGGGAGAGGTGACTCCGGAGCATCACAACACCAGGGCCCCAGTCAGGTGTTCCTGAACCCTCTCCACACCAGGCTCCCCAGAAGTCGCCTGAACCCAATCACAGGGGGCCTCCTGAGGTGCCTGGGCGTGAAAAACCAGGAGGCCAGGCCCCAGCCAGCACCACAGAGCCAGCAGCCTGCCAACGACTCCTGAGACCACTTCCAGGAAGACTGCCGGCAGTGATCACCATCCTCAGGTGGCCCTCCTCAAAACACGTCCCAAGAATCGGCACAAACCAGAATACAGATGACATGCTTCAGGCACACCACACGTTCAGTGTCAACACCTGCCACACACCCAGCCCACCCAGGTGTGCAGTGGGGCCTGCCACCGCCTCGCCACCCTCCAGTCAGGGAAGCGGTGACCTCTCAAGGCCACGTGCTGACCGAGCAGTCCACCCCGAGCTTTCCGCTGTGTGGTCAGCAAGCCGGGGCCTGAGGCCCACATCCAGCACCGAGGTTCTTTGTAAATAAAGCGTTCTGGAACATACCACGTGTGTTCATTTACAGAAAATCTACGCCTAACTTTGTGTCAAGACAACACAGCTAGTTCATGAGCCGCCCGAGACCCTGCGGTGGCCAGGAAGCTAAAAATATTTACACCCCGCGCTCTGAGCGGCCCCGTGCTGCTCCAGTCGCCCAGGCCCGACCCTCAGAGTAAGGCAGCAGGCACCCTGGGCAGAATGGACAGTGGTCACGGACCTCTTTGTGGACACTGAGGACACAGGACAGATGACTGACGCATGACCCGATGCCGGGCAAGGAGGCAGCTCGTCCAGAGCCTAAATCCTCCTCAGGGAGTTACCCCCACCTTGGCCCCCTGCTACAATACAGCGAGGGGCCTGCCGGCGCGCTACCAACTCCTCTCCCACTTGTTCACCCGGAACTTCGGCGGCAGCGTTTAGGGTCCAAGCCCCACCAGGTCACCACCACTGCCAGCAGCTCTGCAGGCAGCTCAGGGCGCACTTTCTTCCACAGCCAGGGAGCAAAGCAGGTTTCACTTCCCAGTCCGAAGCTGTGACTCTCTCTCCCTCCCAGGCTGGATCTGATGTCCACAGCTAACAGCTGATCCAGAGCACCACGGCCTCGGAAAACCCGTGGCAGAGACCAGCCATCTGCAGCTTCGGGACTCTCACCCAGACAACATCGACAAGGGAACGCGGAGGCAGCAGCGTGCCCAAAGGACCCCCGCATGACCTTCATCACTAAGAAGTCAGAGAGCTGTTCCACAAACACGGCCAGAGTGAAAGCTCAGCGATTCCCCCGACTTTCTGACCAAAACAGCTCTCTCCCCCAGACTGGCCTTCGTCCTACACTGACGAGACTCTGTTTCTTATCAGACAGTCAGCACCAGGCAGAGCACTGTGGGGAGCAGCGGTGACACTCGGGTCGTGGGGGGCGTCCCCCTCTCAAGCAGGTGCTGGCCCACCAGTGCCACAAGCCCTGTCATTCCGGACGGAGTCCGATCCGGGCACAAGGGGGACGGGCTGGAATTACAGAGGAACCCGCCCCCAGCTGACACCTCAGCACAGAGTGAAGGCAACATCTCAGGTTACCCCACCTGGGAAACGCGCACCCGCTTCACTGCACCCGCAGCACACCTGCTCGGGTCTACTGTTCTCTCTGCAGGGCGGACACAGCCCCCAGCTGATCCCAGCCCCCTCTCCAAGCACCAGCAAAGGATGCTGTACTGTTAACAGCTTCAGTCCCACCTCCTTAGACCTGCCTGTCCTCAGCGTGGTGGGCCACAGCTTGACGCCAGCGGCCAGGGTCCTCTCTGAAGGTCACTAAGTATGGTAAGGACAGCGGGCCAGGTGGCTGACTTCCCAGCCTCAACATGAAACCAGGCGCTGGAACTCAGCTCTGGGCCGCATATGGGAACCACTATGGCTACGCCTGAACCCCAGGTGATGGATGCCCAGGCGGCAGCTCGGCCGCCTGCAGCCTCCATCCCCGTCAGAGCCGGCCTCTGGTAGGACCTCATTTCCAGCTCCAGGCTCCCAGCACACCACTACCCCCCCAGCAACCCAGAATCTGAAGAGAGCTTCCAGATACCGCAGCCCTTCTCGGCTAAGGTCAATTGAGAGAGGGTGCCTTCTGGCAAATCTCATCCTCAACAAGGGGCTTCCCAACTTTTCAATGGAGGGGGCGGGCCGAGAGACAATCCTGCTGACCCTGGCGAGGCCAAGCACACCAGGACCCTGACACCACGTGGGCCGGCACTCACCTTGTCCATCCTGTCTTGCTCCACGCCAAACTTCCCTCCGTAGCCGTGCGAGGCTTTGGGTCCTGTTTCCAGCTCCTTCTCCTTGAGGGTCTGGTGTTCTTGAAACACATTCTCCCGCAGCTTGTGGATGCTTGGAGGGAAGAGATGGAAGACAAATCAGTCAGACAGCCAGCCAAGAAATGCCTCTGTGCATTCTGGGAGGACAGACAAGGACGTCATCTCTGCAATCTGAGAGCTTTCGTTCCCAGGTGGCTCCCCAGCCCGGCCTCCCTTGTGTTCACTTTACTGCACCTCCAGCTGCCCCCAACTCCAGCAGTTCTCAGAATCATATGCAGGTTAATGGGAAAAAAACAAGTCTAAACACACACAGTGAGTCATCTCCAAGCCCCTACAGAAGCTGGGCTATGATGTGGACGGCATTCCACCAAGTGGAGGGCAGCTCCTCGGGTTCACCAGACACCTGACCCGGGACAGCCAGCAGGCAAACGGGAGACAAAGTCAACAGGCGTGCACCCGGACGACCCGAGGCCAGGAGCCCAGAGATGTGGAATATTCAGACAGTTTCTCGCCACGTGAAGCACCCCAGCCTTCCATTCAAAGGTGAAGTGAGAGGCTTTCAGAACTTAAGATGTAAAAGCCACTTTCACTTTAAGCGCTAGGAGCAGCAAGACAGACCACTAGATGCAGCCAGAACAGGCAGGCCGGGCAGTTGTCCCCCAGGGCCGCCGAGGGCCACCTCACACCACAGCCACACCTCCACATCCGGACAGCAATCCCAGACGTGCGGCTTAGAACACCAACGAGGCCTGGCCACCTTCCGAGCCCCTGACAAGCTGGGGAAGAAGACCAGCCTCCAAGCACCATAGAGGGACCTCAGGATGCCAAAAGCAGTTCTGCCTTGGGTGTTCTCTGAATTCTAACCCACCCACAGGCTGCCTGACCAGAGAGAGTTCCTTTCTTCTCCAATCTGCCCTCCCCGACGTGTTTTGAAACCACGGGAACAGCTAAGAGGCTAAGAGGCCTGGATGACAAAACCAGGTCAGCAGTCAGTCTGACCCCAGAGCAGGGAACCTGGGACAGCTCCCAGTAGCAGCTCCTCCGGCCGGTCCCAGGCCCTTCTCTGAAGAGCTGCGAGGTGGCGGGCTCAGCGAGTCAGGGAGGGAGGAACACTTGTGTCTAAAATGCCCACACTGCAGACTTCACCCACTTTTCTGGATGAACGGCTGAACCCTTCTTAGCCAAGAAGAACTTCATTTCACTGCAGAGATCCTAGAGCCAAGGAAGACCAGTGCTCTACAAATGACCCACCTGGTCACAATCAGGGCAGGGAGCACACGCCCTCACTGAGGCCAGCACAGGCGGAAATAAAAGTCTGAGCACATTCTCAAAGGCCCTTTTATCTACACCTCCCAACAAGAAAACAAGCTGCCCCGGAGGTGGCGAGTTAAGACTGGCCAAGTCAGGGACAATCCCTGCTTCATGCATTTCTCCTATCTTGACCTTCATGAGAACAAGAAGTTCAGGCCTCAGCTCAGGGTATCCAACTGACAACAGAATAGTAACATTATAACAAAATAATACAAATTAAGGAGGGGGTGTTTCTGATCTCATGTCTTCAAAGACAGCCACAACCCACGCTTTAGAAACTCCCATCTGCAGAGAGAACAGCTTAGGTAACTGTGCTCCTGGATGAAAACCAGACTGGAGAATCAGGAGTACAGGAGACACCGGCAATGAGAATTTTAAACCACTGAGCACGTCTGTACAGATGCACATACACAAACACCTAAGTATATATGCGTCAGACCTCATTTTCACCTACTGTGTGATCTACAAGGGACCAGACAACGCAGAAGCAGGGCCAGCGTGCAGAAGCAGGGCACTCGCGCTCACCAGCGGGGAGCGTGCCCTGCCTCACCCCTTCACGTTTCAGAATGTCACCGTCACACAAAGATCAAGAAGGTCTCTTACTTGATGTGCTCCTGGTGCCCAGATCCTTGCACGGTCTTGGCCCCCCATCTCTGCTCTTTTTCACTTACATCATTCTAAAAAGAAAAATAAAGAAAGAATACACCCCACACCCTGGACTGTAAAACAGCCCCCCACCCACCCACCCAAACACCTGGGAGGATCCACTTCAGGAGACGGGAGAGGCAGGCAGATTGGCGGCTCCTACCACGAAATCGGGGTCAGTCTCCCAGTCGTCAGCTCCCCCGTCGTCCGGGGTGATGGACACAGTGTGGCCGGCTGAGGCTTTCCACATCTGCAAGGGCAGCGTGGACGGTCACAGACGCCAGGAGAGCCCTGCCCAGAGGCCCACGTGGACGCTCTGCCCAGGACCCCAAAGCCCTGGACGGCACAGGGAGGGCGGGGAGCTACGTGCTCAAGAGGTCCACTCATGGGACTTCCCTGGGGGTCCAGCAGCTAAGACTCCCTGCTCCCAATGCCAGGGGCCCAGGTTCAATCCCCAGTCAGGGAACTAGATTCCTGCAGGCCACAACCAAGACCTGCTGCAGCCAATTTTCTTTTTTTCTTAAAAAAAAAAAAAAAACGGTCACTCACAATCCCCGTGCCTGAGTGTCACGGGAAGGACCCAAAGAAACCTAACATGAGAGCTCCAACGCTGCAGTCACAGGGCAGAAACACACAAGAAATATTCCTGGCTTCAACTCAAGTGAGGAAATTTTTTGAAAAATAAAAAAAGTCACGTGTGCTACTTCACTCAACAGGAACCTCCCCGACTAAGTCTCCTGACAAGTGTTGTCCAACACTGGGAACGCGCTGTCGCCAATAGTAAAGTCTGCTGTATTTTATCACAATTTTTTTTTAAAAGCATCCATTTTGACTTAAAAATAATTACTTGAAACCTAACAATGATTTTAACTTAGACTCTGACAAGTCAATAAATCATTCACGGGCTGCTTTGCCATCTACTTGGGGAAACGCAGAGCACACAGAATGCCAACTCTGTGCCGGGCCTCCTCAGCAGGGCCCTGAAACTCTGTAACTTATAGGCTTGGAGAACAATGACACAGCCTAAGAGCCAAACCACACTGCTCTTTCCGTAACTACAAAAGCAAAATCTAGCCTTTCAGGACTTCAATAGAAAGCAATGAGAAGAACAGTTCTGTTCTCCCCAGAAGTCCCCATAAAACTGGTCAGAGGCCAGGAAGCAACTGAAGGCTTGTTTTCACTCAACCAGAAGCCCCAACCCTGGTGTCTGAGCTGAGGACACTGCCCGTCTCACTTGGTGGGGCCACACGCTCTGTGTGGATCCAGACAGGACAGGAGTCCTTCACAGGCCTGAGACCCCCCCAGGCCGGGTCCCCCTGCACCCCTGGCTCTGCTGGGTCACAAGTCCAAGGTGGTGGCAGGGGTGGATTGAGGGGCCCAGCTCTCAGATTCCCAGATTAGACTCCTGCCACGTCACCTGGGCAGGGAAGCATGTGCCACCAGGTGGGCAGGACCAACGCAGTCCCCTGGACACTGTCCCACTGGGACCCTTGCTCCCCTCTGACTAGGTGAAGCAAAGCAGGAAGTGCCTTTGGACACAATCTTTGAGAGCCGACAGACCAGGTCCAGCCACGGTGGGCACAACTAGCGTGCCTATTCACAGATGGAGACACAGCTGCCTGAAAGCCAAAAGCTCTGCCCAAAGCCTCTGCTTCCCCGAGTCAAGACGGCCCGTGGCACCACACTGGCCTGAGAAGGGGCCGCCCGCCCACAGGACTCCAGGTGCCGAGTGGTCTCCTCAGCCAGTGAGGGGACGGCCAGTCATGCAGAAGGACGGGGTCTCCAGCAAGATTCACTCCCCACCCAAGGCCAAGGTGAAAGCCGCATCCTGGCCTGGATTTCTCCACGCTGGCGGCGCAGAGGTTGCAGGTCCCACTCTCCACCCGTCTCTCCGGAAGCCAGCCTCTCTCGTGGGCAGGTGAGCACTGGCCGGCTCGCCCCAGCTTCATGGCCACAGGCTCCCCACTCCCACGTAACAGGAAGAAGGGGCCAGGGGGCTGCCAGGCCAGGGTGGGGGGTGCCCCAGGTCCTCCACTCCAGGGTCGTGTGGAATCCCCTCCGCTTTCTAGACCACAGGCAACACCGAAATTGACTTCATCTTTCAAATAAGAAAATTTCCTCCCAGAAAGTTATCGTCCCTATCTCCGCAAACCCAGGGAGAGAACACCCCTCGCATTCCTTGTCAAAGGGGTTTCCCTGCCCGCCCAGTGGAGCACATGAGCACGCTCACAGTGCACATACCTTTCCTCTCCAAGTGCAGATGCGAGACGCTCACAAGACTCTGCTGAAAACGCAGTAATCCAACGAGGAATTCCCAGGCATTGGGGAGAGCTTCTGTCTGTAAAAAGATTAAGAGTAAAAAGCTCAGAAGGATATGTGCTGACAAGCACCCTGGGCACATCTTTGTGTGCTGAGATCCTTTTAGAATACCTCTGAAATCCTCCCCAACATAACAAGGTTTTGTAAAGAAATGTGAAAAGAGGGTGGGAAGATTCGCATTTCTCTAACCAAAGAGTTCAACTGACTTTCAGCCAGGGAGAAACTACAGGAAATAAAGAAGTTCCATCCAATTTACAACTGTATGAAGTTTCTCCTTAATGCAAACAGAAATCACTGCCTCAATTTAGCGTACATTTTTGTTTGCTAAAATCCTGAGAGCTTTCCACTTCTGGTTCATCCTAATTTATTCTGCAATAAAATTCTAATACTCTGGGTGTGTACATATATATATATATGGCTTCCCCAGTGGCTCAGACAGTAAAGAAGCTGCCTGCAATGCGGGAGACCCAGGTTCGATCCCTGGATGGGGAAGATTCCCTGAAAAAAGGAATGGCAACCCACTCCAATATTCTTGCGGGCAGAATTCCATGGACAGAGGAGCCTGGCGGGCTACAGTCCATGGGGTCACAGAGTCGGACATGACTGAGTGACTAGCACTCTCACACTTTCACATACATATGTATACATGAGAAGCACTTCCCAAAGGGATGGTGACATGGCTGGGCTAGAACTGAGAGCAGTGACAGCTATCGGAACGTGAAGAACGGTGACTCGGGGAGCAAAGAAGCAAGCTGCGTCTCGAACGAACGAGTAGGGTTACTTCATAGGACCCAGACCCCAATTCTGCGACCCACCAGCTCAGCAGCTCTTCCCTAAGACCACACGATAGCCCTGACTAGACACGGCACTGCTAGACATTACAGATGCCTAGAATCCCCTTGTCCCCCAGAACAGACTGGTCACGGGCACACACCGTCTGCGCTGGCGTGTGGCCTGGCATGCATTGGCAACCAGACGGAAGGTGCTCTGCTGGCCTTCCTCAACTTTGCCTTTAGAAATCCTAATTGTGTAGGCTGCTTAACATTCTGGGTACCGCAGTTATCACCCAGCATCTATGAAAATCTTCCCAAGGGTAGTGAGTGATAGGTTCAAATCTATAATAATCTATTCCCTCTCAATATTTTTAATTAAAAAAAAATCACGAAAGCAACTCTTTGAAAAACTGAGGAACTTTTGTTTTTTTGATCCAAAGATAACGCCTCTGGACCCCTACCTCATACCACACACAAAAATTAACTGGAAAAAAACGGATCAAAAAACCTAAGTGTCTGAAATAAAACTACTGAATTCTTAGAAAAAAACAAGAATAGATTCTCATCACCTTGAATTTGACAAGACCTTAGATGTGACACCAAAAGCACAAGTGAAAACAGAAAAAAATAAATTGGACAAAATTTTAAACTTTTTGGTTCAAAAAAAAGACACCCATCAAAGTGAACACAATTTACAGAATGCGAGACACTATTTTCAAATCATCTATCCAGAATATATAAAGAACTCTTAACCACATTTTTAAATGGTGAAAGGATCTGAACAGACATTTCTCCAAAGACATACGAATGAATGATAAGCTTGTGAAAAGACAGTATCACTAACCATCAAGGGAATGCATATCAAAGCCGACTTCTGAGATACCATTCCACACATTCTAGGATGGCTACCATCCAAAAAACAGACAAGAAGTTTGGCGAGGGTGTGCAGAAATCAGAAGGCTCTTACGCTGCTGGTGGAAATGTTAAATGGAAGAATCTGGCAGTTCTTCAAAAGGTTAAACACAGAGGTGCCATATATCCCTGAAACTCCACTCCTAGGTATATAGAAAATTTATTCACAGAGCATCACTCCTAACAGCCCAAAGTGAAAATAACCCAATATCTACAAGACACGCAGCAAGTGGTCTATCCATTCAATGGAATGCTACTAATATCTGCTGATAAAAGGAATGAAGTACTGACACCCATTACAACATGGATGACTCTTAAAAATCTTACACTAGGTGAAGAAGCCGGACACAGAAGACTGTATATCATACAGGCCCATTTATGAGTGGCCAGATCTGGTAGTCTACGGAGAGAAAAAGTAGAATAGTGGTTGCCGAGTGTTGGGGTGAGGGAACCTGATAAGGCTTCTCTGAGGTGATGAAACCACCGACGCTGAGTTAGCCGTCCACTTGCCCACCCTCTCCAGTGTAGCAGAGGAAACAGGTCTCACAGGCCCACTCTCCACAACACCATCACTCGGAGGACTCCCTCCCACCCCTGCCTCCTGCACAGTGAAAGACAAGACCCCTGAGGTACAAGGGCCCCAGGACAGGGCCCACTGCAACACAGGGCAGGCCCCAGGGCTCCCAGCTGTCTCTCTCAACCGTGCGCTCCCCAGCCCCTGTTGCACTGTGCTGACCAAAGATCTGAATCACCAATGACTCCATCCAAGTTAAGTTTTTTACAGATCTGTCTCTCAAAATGCTTCAAATAAAAGGTCGGGAGGGACACACTGCCAGTTACTGAGGCGGGTGTGGAGCAGAACATAGAGGACAACCCCGCACAACCCTCCTCGCTCCTCTCTCGGGTCTGGGAACACTTTCAGCCTCTGGCACCAGCGCAGTGACTCACCCGCCGTCAGGCCCTGCCCAGTGCCGGCCAGCTGGGCGGCGGGGCGAATCACGCGGTCGGCCGCAGCGGGTTAAGCCCCCACGGAGCTCCGGGGGCCAGATCTCCGCGGAGCCCAGCGGGGCGCTGGCCCGGGACGCCTCGGAGCTCCGTCCAGCGGGAAGTGGGTTCCTCACCCCGCTCCCCCGGGCCCGACGCGGCCAGCTTCCACAGGAAGGAAGCCCTGTCCCCTCGCCCCAGACCCTCTGCAGGGGCACCAAGCTCGCACCAGAGTGACTCCCTTCCAGGTGACTGCCAGCTCGCACCCAGAGGAGGGACTGTTCCCAATCCAGAGCCGCTCCACTCTGCCGCCGCGCCGGTCGCTGCATTTCCACTGACCTGACTGCAACATCTCCCCGCAGGTGTGGGCCGGGAGCTGGGAGCAGCGCCCGCCCTGCCGTTGGGAGACCCCGGCCCCTCCCCCTCGGCCCTCCACCCCCTGACCTCCCGAGTCCGGGACTCCTCCTTCCGGTAGGACTCCTCTCAGTCCCTAGACCCTCTCGGCTCTCCGCCCCCTCCCCCTATCACTCCAGGTCCTGGACCCCCTCCCCGGCGGTCCTCGCTCTTCCCAGGACCCTCTGGACCCTTGTCCCCCTTCCCCTAAACACTCGGGGCCAGGCCTCTCCGCGCCCCCCGCCCCCTTGCCCCTTCCTCCCGACCCGCAGGTCCTGCACCCCTCCTGTAGAGCCCCTCTCCTATCCTAGACGCCCCCCTCAAACCTCTGGCCCCTTCCTCTCAGGAGCCCGGGCATTCGCCCCTTCCCCTCAGGCCCCGGCCCCTTCCCCTCAGGCCCCGGCCCCTTCCCCTCAGCCCCCGGCCCCTTTCCCTCAGGCCCGGCCCCTTCCCCTCAGCCCCCAGCGCCCTTCCTCAGCCCCCGGCCCCTTTCCCTCAGGCCCGGCCCCTTCCCCTCAGCCTCCGGCGCCCTTCCTCAGGCCCGGCCCCTTCCCCTCAGCCCCCTAGCCCCTTCCCCTCAGCCCTCCGGCCCCTTCCCCTCAGCCCCCAGCGCCCTTCCTCAGCCCCCGGCCCCTTCCCCTCAGCCTCCCAGCCCCTTCCCCTCAGCCCCCGGCCCGCCCATCCCCTTCTCTAACCTCGGCCCCCAGCCCGGGGAAGCCTCGCCCGCGCTCCCCCCGCGCGCGAAACCGCGAGCGGAAATGCGGCGAGACCGCCGCGGCCGCCGCTTCCTTCCCGTTTCGGGACGTGGCTGCGCCCGGGGACCTCAGCTGAGGAACCAGCCCGCTCCCCCGCCCGGCGAAGGCCGAGCTCGCTCACCGCCGACTGGGGTCGGTCTGGTCCGGCTCGGCACTGCCCAGCCTCCGCCGCGCCCGCAGTCCCAGGCGCCCCGCTCCACTTCCGGTTCCGCGGACGGGGGCGGGGCCGCATCCGGGTCTCCGAGGCTCCGCCCCCGCCGGCACGCCCCCGCCCCCGCCGGGTCCGCGGATCCTGCGGCCTCACTTGTCCACGTGGCGCCAGCAGTGCCCACCCCTGGCGCAGGCGCGAGCTCCGCCCGGTGCCCGCCTGCGGAGCCTGCCTAAAAGTGAGATGACGCTGAAGGATAAATTTACGGAGCGCCCGCTGTGTGCGGACCAGACTGTGCTCACAGTACTGGATTCACAGCACCGCCCGAGGTGACCAAGGGCGACCGAGCGGAAAAGGGGACAGTGCCAGGTTCTCTGAGCACTGAGGACGCAGGAGGTAAGAGTGACGGCCAGTCACCTGGGAGGAACAGGTGACTGTTCCTCCGTTCATGCGTCCATCCGTTACCTATCCGTACATCATCCATCCATCCATCTTCTTCCATTTTCCACCAGTCAATCATCCAACCACCTGTCAGTCTCTTCGTCCAGAGAAAGCCAGATATGTATCAGAAGTAGAGGTGAGCAGGATAAACGTGGACTTTGCCCTTAGAGACCTTTCAACCTAGAAGAGGAGTCAGACATTAATCAAATACATATATACTAAGGAAATAAGACAGATGCTCTAGAAAATGTCAGGGTTAGATTGGAGAGATGGTAGGACCCCAAATCCTTCAGCAGATCAGAGGCTTCTTCCAGCGATTAACATTTGAGCTGATACATGATAGCCAAATAGAAGTAAACAAGGAAAGAAGGAAAGAATTTTCCAGGCAAGAAAAGAGTCTATGCAAAGGCCCTGAGGCAAGAAAAGAATGAGGTCCTCTGTGCTCTGGGAAAAACTTGGAGAGTAGACCATTAAATATTTTCAGGAGAAGACTTTCTGAACCTAATTTCTTGCATCTTTTCATACCCAATTTAGTTCAGTCACTCAGTCGTGTCCGACTCTTTACGACCCCATGAACTGCAGCACGCCAGGCCTTCCTGTCCATCACCAGCTCCCATAGTACACCCAAACCCATGTCCATTGAGTCAATGATGCCATCCAACCATCTCCTCCCCTATCGTCCCCTTCTCCTCCTGCCCTCAATCTTTCCCAGCATCAGGATCTTTTCCAATAAGTCAGCTCTTCATATCATGTGGCCAAAGTATTGGAGTTTCAACTTCAACATCAGTTCGTCCAATGAACACCCAGGATTGATCTCCTCTAGGATGGACTGGTTGGATCTCCTTGCAGTCCAAGGGACTCTCAGGAGTCTTCCCCAACGCCACAGTTCAAAAGCATCAATTCTTCGGCACTCAGCTTTCTTTATAGTCCAACTCTCACATCCATACATAACCACTGGTTTTTCCAGTGGTTCATACCCAGAAAAGTACTAAATTTATTAACAGGCGCATCTGTTCTTTCTGACTAGCACAGTCCTCTGCCAAAGTGTGTATTTGACTTCACATACCCACCCTTTACTTAAAGTGGTGTATATATACTGACTTCCCTCCCCACTTCAGAGCAGTTCCTCAAAGATACTTAAAAGGCTGTCTTCTGGGCTTTAGTACTCACTTTGCCCCAAACTCACAACTCTCCCAATTTTTTTCAGTCATCATCACCAAGGAGTTAGCTTGATGCCTGACCGCACACAGCGTTCACTGTCATAGTGATGGAAGTGAAAACACTTGCGTTTTATCTGTCTGGCCTCAATGCTTTGGATGCACACCCCATTCTTTCCTGCCTCCGTGCCTTGCTGGAATTCCTCCCTCTTCCCCTACAGCCTTCCTACCTTTTTATGTCCTTACCTTGCTCACTCCTCAACCTCCAGCTCAGAAGCCATCTCTCCAGCATCTCTTCTTGGAGCTCACCTTGACATGTCATGGGCATTTCAAAAGAACCAAGCTCACAGCCATATTCTCACTCTCCCACTGCAGTCTTGGTGCGTTTCCTCCCCCACCCACCAACCCTCACCACCATCCCTCCCACCACCCCACCCTTCTAGGGCATCACAGAGCACCAAGCTGAGCTCCATGTGTTATATAGCAGCTGCCCGTCAGCTCTCCAAAAGAAAAAAAGATCCATACTTTAGAATGGGAAAAAGGGATGATTAGATATTCTTTTAAGAGAACACTTAAGGCTCCGATTAAGAGAACACTTAAGGCTCCGATAATCATGATTCTTTGGGATATGTGCCTTTAAAATTAAAAAAAAAAAATTCGCCTAGATTATTCCACTCCTCTATAGAGGTAGAAGTTAACCTGTGGAAAACAGACAGCGATGCAAATAATTCTTGTCCGTAGAAAGGCCCATTAGCTGTGTCCAGTAAAATACAACTGACATTGCTCTATGGATAGACCGTTTTTTTGCAAATTCATTTCAGCATTCCTGTCACTTCTCCTTTGAACAAGTTGTAACCTCTTAGTGCTTCATTTATTATTAAGTGAAATAAAATCTTTGATATGCATTCATTTTATATGTGTAGAAAATCATGATTTTATCTTTCAAAAAATTATCCTTTCACCTCTGACATCGCCTTCCCCACCCATACCCCCTATCCATCCTCAAACCTGACAATTTAACTTTATAAATGTATCTTGTGTCTACTCCCTTCTCTCCGTCTTACTCACCGCCACCAGTTTGCCTGAACTGTCCATCCCAGGCCCTTACCTGGCTCTCTTCCGATTCATTCTCGGCTCAGCAGCCCGATTTCATTACAATACAAACTGTGTGATTTCTACCCCCTGCTTAATCTCGTCCAAGGACTTCCCACTTATTTTTTTTTTATATTTACTTATTTGGCTGTTCTGGGTCTTACTTGCTGCATATAGGATCACTGATGTTCATTGCAGTATGCAGGATCTTTTTTTTTTAAATTTCTGCATGCAGAATCTAGTTCCCTGACCTGGGATCAAACTCAGGCCCCCTGCATTGGGAGTGCAGAGTCTTAGCCAGTGGACCATCAGGGAAGCCCCCCCGTCCCATTTCTTCAAGAAAAAAGACCAAGGTCCTTGCAGTGCACTTTCTAGCTGACCTGGCTCCATCTCAGCCACTGCCCCGCTCTGTCACCACACTTCTGTGGCACAGAACTTCCTTCAGTTCCTCCGTGGAGTGAGGAACAAAGTGAATTTTGTTGTATGAATGAGGTTACTTTGGAAAGCACCTAAGGATGGGGCTGGTTGCCAGGACAACCTTCTATGTGATTGGAGAGCTGGAAATTCAGTCGCACCCTTGAGCCCTGGGGAGGGGAAAAGAGAAGGACTGTGGGTTAAATTCATCACCAATGGCCAATGAGTTCATCAATCATGGGTGTGTGATGAGCCCTCCATAAAGACCCACAAGGACGGGTTCTGGGAACTTCCGGTTTGGTGAACATGTGCAGATTGGGGGAGAGCGGTGCTCAGACAGCATGGGAGCTCTGAATCCCTCCTCACACTTGCCCTGTGCCTCTCTTCCATCTGGCAGATCCTGAGTTTATAACCTTTTAAAATCAACCTGTGATCTAGTAGGTAACACGTTTCCCTGAGTTCTCTGAGCTGTCTGGCAAATTCACCAACCCTAAGGAGGTTATTAGAACCAGACTTGGAACAACTGACTGGTTCAAAATTGGGAAAGGAGTACTACAAGGCTGTACGTAGTCACCCTGCTTATTTTACGTCTAGGCAAAGTGAAAGTGAAAGTGAATTCGCTCAGTCATGTCTGACTCTCTGCAACCCCATGGACTGTAGCCTGCCAGGCTCCTCCGTCTATGGGATTTTCCAGGCAAGAATACTGGAGTGGGTTGCCATTTCCTTCTCCAGAGGATCTTCCCTACCCAGAGATTGAACCTGGGTCTCCCATATTGTAGGCAGATGCTTTACCGTCTGAGCCACCTTAGTCTTTTATGCAGAGTACATCATGCAAAATGTTGGGCTGAATGAATCACAAGCTGGAATCAAGATCGCAGGGAGAAATATCAGCAACCTCAGAAATGCAGATGATACCACTCTAATGGCAGAAAGCAAAGAGGAACTAAAGAGCCTCTTGATGAGGGTGGACGAGGAGAATGAAAAAGCTGACTTAAAACAAAAATTCAAAAAGCTAAGATCCCATCACTTCATGGCAAATAGAAGGGGAAAAAGTGGAAACACTGGCAGATTTCCATGGGCTCCAAAATCACTGCAGACAGTGACTATGGCCATGAAATTAAAAGACACTTGTTCCTGGAAGGAAAGCTGTGACAAACCTAGACAGCGTATTAAAAAGCAGAGACATCACTTTGCTAACAAAGGTCCATCTAGTCAAAGCTATAGTTTTTCTAGTAGTTAGGTACAGATCTGAGAGTTTGACCATAAAAATGACTGAGCACTGAAGAAGTGATGCTTTTGAATTGTGGTGCTGGAGAAGACTCTTGAGAGTCCCTTGAACTGCAAGGAGATCAAACCGGTCAATGCTAAAGGAAATCAACCCTGAATATTCATTGAAAGGACTGATGAAGCTCCAATACTTTGGCCACCTGATGCGAAGACCTGACTCATTGTAAAAAACCCTAATGTTGGGAAAGACTGAAGGCAGGAGGAGAAGGGAATGACAGTGGGCAAGATTGTTGGGTGGCATCATGGACTCAATGGACATGAGTGTGAGCAAGTTCCAGGAATTGGTGAAGGACAGGGAAGCCTGGCATGCTGCAGTCCATGGGGTCACAAAAAGTCGGACACGACTGAGCGACTGAACAACAGTCAAGTTGAAGATGCAGTGCTTGTCCCCAAACAGGGATCAGACTCCCCAAACAGGGATCAGATTCATGCCCCCAGCAGTGTAACCGTGTAGTTTTAACCACTGGACCACCAGGGAAGTCCCCGTGTATGGATTCTGAATACAGCACTAAGGATCCAGCCCTTGGGATGCCTTGCTACTTCTGGTCTGTGAAGAAGTCCAGCACAGCCTTCTGGAGTGAAAGCGATGCCACAGGATGAGAATCCAGGCTTCCCAGCCAAAAGCCAGTGCCAGCTCTCAGGTGCTTGACTGAGGCAGTCTTGGACTTTCCAGCCCCAGAAGAGTTGTCAGAT